TTGGGTCCTGATATCTCACTGTTTGGCAATGTGTTGTACTAAACTCGAACGCCAGTAACTACAACGGCAGTTTTCATGAAAGAATTCCTTTGATCTCTAACTAACAATGTCTTCACATGCTTACCAAAACTTTATTTCATATTTCATAGTTTACAATCACTGCAACGAACTCGTTCATGAGATCGACCCGGTCCATTTCATTTCGATTTTTGAACATATTCTTCCCATAACGGTACAATGAACTCAGCCGCCTGAAATGCGGTGTTACAGATCGCTACGAAACGTTCACTGTAGGAATCGTCTCTGCTAAGTAATCTCGTTGTGCTTATTTCACGTGGAGGAAACATCCAAATATTCCAAAAATGAAATTTGCGGATTCAGTCGTAAAGATTCAACTTACTTTCACGTAGTTAAAGCTCCGAAATCAAATTAAGCGAAACTGAAGCTGTAAAAATTGCCAATGTGAAAATAGGGAAGCCACTCGAGGTGATGGCAATCCAAAGGAAGTTCATCTTGGTCTCGGAGTCGGTAGCTTGTCAATTTCAATTTTATTTTCTTTCTAGAGCGTTCCGTAGGTGAGACTGATTGTTTCAGTTTAGGATTGAACCCTCGTTGAATTGAAACCCCCCTTGACCCCTCGTTTAGGCGAGATCAAGCTTCCTCCGTTATGTCTTATAGGATAAGGCATGGATTTTACTTCCATTAAAATAGTGGCATTTTCAATACGATACGGTCTGTACAGTATCCAAACCGGTGCAAAACCTCCCCCTCCAAGCCCTGGAATACCCCTTTTTCTTCCAGAGTGTGGTCGATCAAAACTTCAATACTCTGCCCAGCAATCAAATAATCTTGTTCACTTTTGATGAGGATGGATTTACTTCCCATTGTGCTAAGGTTTATCTGTTGACTTGAAGTGATACCTGATATATTGTAGCATTCTCTTCAATGAGTCGAACAATCGTTACACCGTCCGTTTTCAGTGTTTTCTTGCAGAAGTCGCTTACTTCCCTCCCATCAAAATCATCGTTGATAGCCGATTCCTGAAACGCAGAGGTGAATATTCCATAAGAAAAACTACAAAATCTCATCACAATGCATGCATACATATAGAAACCCGAAAAAGCCAAGAGGGTCTATCATACTGTAGCAGGAAA